TTTCTGGAATAGAAAAATGAGGTAAAGACTTTCCCTGCCTTCTCATCCAATTCCGACATGGCAATACTACACCGAGAACAAAACGTTACTTGGAGATACATACAATCTCAGGTACGGATTGAAAAAATACATATGTTTCTATGTAATCTTGTAATCGCATATTTTATATAAATTTGTTTGAATTATTTTTCCAACATTGCGCATAAATACGTCCTACACTGATTTTTACTCTTCGATCCGGAGGGTCACCAGCACGTGTCCCACCTTGGGCATGGTTGTTTGTCCTCTCTCATACAAGTGTTGTCGTCGAGGCCCTCACGTTCTACTGACCTCAGATCAGAGGAGCCCGCAAGTGTGTCAGAGTATGGCTGAATATGCGTCCCATCGGCACGGCTCTCAGCTGGATAAAAGCCCTAACAAAAAAATTATTTAACACTGATTAAGCTTAACCACTTATATATCATGTAAACAACAATCCAAACATTACTTCTGAATTCAATCGCATTATTGTAACAAGTCAACTGCCAATGCTACATTTCAACTCTAGATTCAAAATTTACGATCCAAAATAAATTACCCTCAACTATAATGAAGCAAAGTATAGATGTGGAATGTACGCTATGTGACCCACTCTAGACCACTATACGGCAGTAGGAAACTTGGAACGCCACCCCACCAAGAGACAAACGTCGCGCTGTAGTAATACAATAATGTTTTAATAAATGCAATTTTTGCAAGAAATGTTTCGTCTTAAATATGGCTAAGTAAATAAATTTCCTGAGTAATTGATACTGACGAACAAGAAGTGCGATAATGAAACAGTAATTCAATTTTACTGCGCCTGTTAACTTTGCTTGTTTATCTCTGCGACTAATTTTTGTGTAGCATGACCAAGTTTCTAAAATGCTCGGCCCAACCTCAACTTCCAATCACTTAAATTTGACGTATCACTACAGTGTGTCGTGAAGTGATTTGTTTGTGTTATTTTTCGAAGAAAATTAAATATCAAAAAGATTACATTCATATGATTCCTGCTTTACTGTCCTTATTCAGCTAAAACTGTTATAAAACTCATTCTGGAAAGGTTTGGACCATGTCGATGATCTACATTTTCCTTGTGACCATTTCAATAACATTATGTTCGCCATTCAAATTACCATTTCAATATTATTTTGTTCTGTTTGAAAAATAAGACTATTTGCTAGATGACATAGCTATTTTCTGCTGTGTGTGTGTGTGTGGGGGGGACACAGCAGAATAATCCCATCTCGCGAGAATCCAGGGATTTCCCCAGCCGCGAATTTGTGCGAGCAACATACCTCTCTTTGTTGACAAACAGAAAGCAGCGTCGCAGAGTTTGAGAGACACCTGTGGTCCGCAAAGAATAAATAATCTAATAACAGTTCAGCTGAATATGTCTTAATACTATATGTTGTGTTACCAACATTATGCAGATAATCACCTTAATTGATTATTTTTTGTTATCGGTTGTGTGTCGTGCAATACGTTTAGTACAAAGTACCTTCTTATTTTAAAATATCACAATAACAGATATACCTTATGTTTTGATTTCTTTTGACGGCCGCTGAATTGAACATCTACCTGATATGCATTTACTAAACCTGACTACTTCAAGTATTGAATTTTAATTTTTCGACAACATTGGAAGCAGATTTGAGGAATGAAAACGTAGGTTGAGCGTAGCTAGAACTCGGGATTGTTAAACTCTTAGCAACACCACTCATTCACAATAACAGTTTCTCATTTGCTTTCTGTATTGACTTATAACAAAGTATACTCACGTGTCAGAGACTTTGGAATGACTTGAGTCCCCTCATGGCGAAAATATGAATAGAAAAAAAAGAAAAAGAAAGGAAAACAAGTCTGAAACAAAATATTTGCCAGTTGGATAGCACGAAGAAATACAATATCTCACGTATAACTAACCTAAAAGTGTCAGACAGAAAACATAGCCTAACTACGTACTGAAAGATGAATTATTAAAAAATTAGTTGCACTACATCTAATTGAATATTTCACATATGAAAAAAATCGTGATAAAAACCCTGTGCACCTCCATTCGTCAAAGAACTTGCATTTTCAAACAGCTCGCTTCAAAGATGGTTAATGTTTTACCCAAATTCTAAACCAAGTGTAAGAGTGTGTGTATCTGTGTAAGACAGAGCAGGGGAACAAGTAGGATTAAGGAAAGATCGCACGCAAACCGTGGTCGATTTCTTAAGGTATTGCTCTGGCATTGGTCTGTTATTTGTCGGAGAGACCACAGAAAACTGCAGATCAGATCAGACGCACGCTAGAATACTCCTCCAGAGTAAGGCTGCTGTCCCCTAGCAATTCGCCTGGTGCCGAAAATACACCACCTCGGCCGGTGTCGCTGCAGTGGCAAGAGTTGCCATGAGGCATCTCAGTCGGTGTGGCGAGGAGGAATGAATGCGGTCATGGCCACCTGGTGGAAGGCATCCGTCGTTTGTTCTGACGCCACAGCAGTCATTACAGCATCATCCTGACAATAAATAAATCGCCTACCTCCTTTCGCATAAATATTACATTATTCTTTAAATCAATGTCGAATAAATGTGGAAAAAGTAGAAAATCTTTTGGTATTTCAATTGTATTTTATGGTTTGATTTATAGTGAGGGTTCATAGTGAGACGTCATGGATACTCACAGCGACCACAGACACAGAGCTTTCGTATAACAATATATTTATTAACAAAAGAAACAAAACCAAAATATATACACTTGTAATATTAGCCAGCGTGCCTCATGCATCTATTTGGGACGCTTGGTTGCGGATTAGTCTCGCCCACAGAAGTAGGGTTTTTCCTGAGGGAAGAACGCGGAGACCGGAGACACAAGGGCTTCTGGGTGTTTCTTCCGCTTATAGAGCTTTTCACTGTATATAAACAAGCGAGGCGGGGCGTGACCGTTAGAGGTCACGTGGCCTCGCTATTATAAACAGAGTTACGGGAGCCAGTAGAGGTTCTGGAGACGGTGGAAAACCCGTTGCGTGTGCCACAAGAAACTTGGGCGCCTAGACGGTGCATATGACGAGGCCAGGCTCGCGAGCTGGAGTCTTTAGTTAGACGAAGGCCTGCGGACTTTGTGTCCTCGGGTGACTGCGATCACGGAGGAGCGATGCTTGTGTGCGGCCGAGGTGAAGGTGGTGAGTGCCACGAATCACGCCGATTCTCAATCGGATAAGATTCGCTCCTGCATCGAGGCAAACCAGCCGTTGGTGCCGCCAGAACGGAACTTTGTGTCCCAGCGTTGACATCGGTCACTGAAGCTAGGCTTTGTGCCGCGCTTCAAAAGTAGGAGTGGCGAATGCCACAAACAAAACCATCTTCAATCGGGTTTTGGATCGCTTCCCGCGATCAGGGGATAAGTAGGTCTATCAAGCTAGCGTTAAGTAGATTAAGTTAAGTGTATATATTGTTTTTGTTTTCTTGGTTAATAAATATATTTGTTATACCGAAAGCTCTGCTGTCTGTGTCGCTGTGAGATCATCCATGACGTCACACACTTAATTAATCTACTTACACCCTAGCTCTGATTAACCTACTAACCCCGGATCGGCCGGGAAGCGATCCAAACCCGATTGAAGATTGGTTTTGATTGTGGCATTTCGCCATTCCTACTTTTGAAGCGCGCACAAAAGCCTAGCTTCCGTGACACGGAGTCACGCTGGGACCACAAAGTCCGTTCTGGTCGCAACCAACGGCTCGCGTTTGCCTCGATTCGAGGAGCGATTACTTATCCGATGAGAATCGGCGTGAATCGTTGGCACTCAACCACTCTTCACCTCGGAGCACGCACACAGCATATTCGCTCCCCGTGACCGCCAGTCCACCCAAGGACAAGTCCGCAGGGCTTCGGTCAACTAGTGACTCGAGGCCTCGCGAGCCTGGGTCGCATATGCACCGTTCGTGACGCCAAGTTTCTGTGCACACGCACCGGAGTTCTCCCCACTGTCTCCAGAAACCCACCCACTGGCTCTGTTACACTCTGTTTATAGGCGAGCTTCACGTGACCTACTACGTCCGCCACCCCCCTCGCTGTAAGCCTTAACAGTGCCAAAAGCTTCTATAAGCCGGAAGACACCCAAAGCCGTGTGTCTCCCGTTTCCGCGTTCTTTCTTTACGAAGAAAACCCTTCTTCCTGTGGCGAGGCTTATCCTCTGCCAAGCGTCCCCAAATAGATGCCACGAGGCACGCTGGCTAATACGTTACAATAGGCTTCCGCGGCCGGAGTCAACGCATTCTTGGCTATTCGGGATGAGCCGCGTCTCGGTCAATTGAATTGTGCTGACGTTTCGGCCATCTTGCTGTGGCCTTCTTCAAAGCTATACTGCTCGCAGGTCAGAATTGCGCTCGTCTCCCTTCGTATGTCTTCAGCACCATCTTCCGGTAGCCCACGCAGAGCAGTTTCCACAGCGGCGATGACGTCATCAGTAGGGGTCTGCTTGGGGATGACGGCGAAATTGAGCCCTCTGGAGAGTACTGTTGTTGTGGCAGTGTCAAACGTTTCGCTGGTCAGGTTGACTACCGTGTTGCGGAGGACGACTTGGGCTTCCGGCCGAGCACATTTTTGCTGTAAGTAGGTGATTTTTTTCACCTGACAGCTTCTCGTGGTGTTTCGCGAACTAACAGCGTTTTTGGAGGATATGCTGTCTGACCCAGTCTTCAGGCCGTAGGGTATGGCTGATTTGGTGTAATCTGTAGGGTTCCCGCTCAATAGTCGCGATATCCGATCGTGTATGATAGATGCGCTCCCGTAGTAGCTGATCGCTGGTACGCCGGACGATCTGTTGAGCCACTCTGGTCTTCAAGTGATGGGAAATATTGAGAAATTTGGGAAGGACGTTGCAGTCACGGCATCGTAAGAGGAAGGCGAGTTGACAGAGCCTCTTAAAGTCCCTGTTAGACCGAGCAGCCTCGGCGATACGTGGATACGCGTAGTGCGATACTTCTGAAACCATGTTTCCTGCATCTCCAAATGAGCGCAACTTGTTATCTCGAGTTGTCGCTCGGCGGCGGCGGCGGCGGCAGCAGCAGCAGCAGCATTATATTAACTGCGAATTTGCGCAGGCGCTGTGATCGTTCCTGGTCTACGTTGGTAGCGGTTCTTCCCAGTCGGACGGTTTAGAAAATTGTGCGCCATTGTGGAGCAGAAGTAGCGATACGAGACGAATCATTTCCCGAATGATAACGTCGGGAAATGCACTCAGCGAAATCGCGAGACCTTATTCCGTCAACCCCTTTGTTTCGCCGCGCGAAGAGGAGAAGACGTACGGAATAAATATAATGAAGATATTGTGTACTGTATATTTAAAACTATGAATGTTCTGCGTAACCTGTGTAAATAAGTGCGAGTGGGAGAGTGAAATGGTGAGTAAATGGGTCAAATACATAATTCGAAATGAAACGCGACTATTTAAAAAGTAATTAAAGAATGTTTAGACCAATGGAAGTGGCCAAAGCGTCATTCTGTGGAAAATAAGGGCTGCGGCGCGCTCACAGTCTTGTAGTACTACTAATGTATGAACATGTTGTCCGATGTTCAATCAGTAATCGACATATGATTTATATTTCATATAGAATTTACGTTACGAAGACTCTTTGAAAAAACATTGAAAAATGAGTTTTGGAACATTTGTTTGGAATAGAACGTCTCCCCTGTAGGAACGTCAAATACAAAAATTTAAAGAAACGAGTAATTTTCACGTAATTTCTGATTGAAATTAATGTCGATTATAAAAACATTTTCTCAAAAATTGGACTTATTTTTTTTTCGTGTATTAAACAAGGAACCCTTAAAAGAATTGTGTAGGTATTATTTTCGTTGATATCTCTAAAATTTCAAAAATGAATGTCAGAAATATTGGGTGCAGACAATCAGTGTTTTAAGCGTCGGTCCGAGTTCGAAACTCACTGCCCTTCCGTAGGGTAGAGGTAAGGCCTTTGGGGCGAGTTAACTTGCAGGACATAAGTTCGAGTCTCGTTGCGGAAAAATAATTGTTCTGGTTGAAAACACTTTCACAGCTTTATGTAGTAGTATAATATTCCGGTGCAGTTAGAAATAATACGAGAAAGTATGTGCTGTTGGAGACGCACTAGTTCTTACTTTACTTATATTTATTTTAATTTTTGTTTTATTTTTCGTCTTAATTTTCTTCTCTTTAAATACCTTCTAGGTCTTATTTTTCTCTTCTTTCTCCTTCTCGATGCCCCAACAAATTTTAATGAGGCATGACAATTGCATGGGGCTCTGCACATGGAAGCATGTAATGGGTCAATGGCAAGCCGGTTGTTGAATAACACAATTGTCAGAGGACCGCAATTCCCGCCGCTCATCTAAATGTATTACAAGTTTTTATAAAACTGTGCGCATGTTGTGCACTTTGCAGGACAGCCAATTGTTCGTTATGAATACTTGGGAAAATATCTGACACAATACCCCCAAAATATCAAACAAGTAAATTCCAAATGTTCACAATAATACTTACTATTTAATTTTATCTCCCTTAGTCATTAACGTACAGTACGTGGTAAGTAAAGCAAATAGTGAGTGACCAATCCATTTCTGAAACTTACTCATGCAACGTCAGTCAGCAAGAAAGGCTCACATTGCGTCAATGACAAGGCTCACTGACATCCTATCTTATCATTGTTGACGTAGCAAGAGTTTAGCTGTCTGGAACAATCATCTCTGCTGCATTGACCTCAAATGCGAACAATGACATTCAATTCGAAACTCATACGGAACATCATCCGCATCATCATCATCATTTTCATTATTAATATAATTATAATAATTATTATTATTACAAAATATTAAATATTTACGATTTGTACATTTTATATTCCGTAAATAAACAAATGTATAAAACATCCCAAATAACATAATAAATAATTATAATTCCATTTTCGCAACAATAAAAAAATCTTGGTTCAAAGTATCAATTTACTATATAGATATTAAGTTTCAACCACGTGCGTGATTTTCAAGTACTTCTCCGTAAATACACATTACGATATCAACGGCACAATTTGTAGTCATTGTTCATGTCAGATTTTATTTTTCCCTACGGAGTAGAGAGAAAGTTATGTAATGCTGCGCGTAAAAATGGATAATTTTCGGATGAAAGACTCTTATTACAAGGCGATGTAACGAAAAAGGGGATAAATCCAGCTGCTGAATTTATAAAAAAAAGCATCTATCACGTGGTGTAACCGAAATCCATGTACTGTGGGTCCTTGATACCGAAAAATCGAATGACGACAAAATGTCCGTCCGTCCGTCCGTCCGTGAACAACGCCAGCGGCTAAACCGTTCACCCGATTTTCTCCAAAATTGATATTCCCTAATCGATCTGGCTGATGTCGCAGCCTCTTCAATTTCAAACCGATATTTTAAATTTGAGAGTTCTTTATATGAATTACATGAAACACTTTCATAATTTTGAAAAAAGTCTCTATTGTTTTTTGTTAAATTTTGTTTTTTGATAGTGTGAAGGACGTTTAAGATAATTATGCAGGTCTCATTTTCTTTGAAAACTAATTTATTGAAAGTTGTGAAATTTCAATTTTTGGAGGGCGACTTCCTTCATCTACAATTATGAAGATAGAGTTTTTTCCCTTAATGGAGTCAGTTCCTTAAACACCACCACTCATTATAACCTCACACTTTCCGTACACACACTGCTTCTACAGCAAATGAACCGAATACGGCTCACATTTAATATTGTTTACATCATTCTGTTTATTGATTTTATATACATTCTGCTTATTGAACATTAATACATCTGTTCCCACGATATCTTCCCTTCGTAATCCAAGTTTTCCTGGCATGTTTCTTTTATGATAACAGAATTCATATTTAATTTCGTAATTTTCTATTCAATCGACAGTTTTGATTTAAAAAGGTGTTGAAGACGTTTATCGGTCACATGCGTCCTTAACCCCAGGTAACACGCAACCCTACTGTTATATTAATTCACTTGTGTCTACCAGTTTGTTAAGAAATTTAACATTCTAGCAATGGAAACCAACAACCAACGATTCATCACATGTCATCTGTTTATTAAAAAATACATGATGTACAAAACAAGTCATATTTCAAACAATTCAGAATACAAGCAACTCATATTAATTTTTGGGATACGTTTTATTAATTGTGATATTATTAATAGTACAATTAGGAAAAATGTTTATTAGGAAAATTAGCCACATTTTTCTGGCTTTCCACCAAAATCTCTTCTCCGCTAATCATATTTATTAACGATGAGAAGGTGTCGCCACTGGAAGTCGGCTCCCGCACAGAAAAGTATTTCTTTAGGCATCTTTAGGTTCAGGAGACTTGTTTGCATCTATCTTTCTCAAAGAACGGTATACGAATATTGTTTAAATAAATATATCGCAAGCAACACTCCACAATATCGTACTAACGTGCTGCAGGAACCGAATTAATTTGTTTAGTATTAAATCGGTTTAAAAAGGATCTCATAATAAAAGACCTAAACAAGTAACGTCTTACCTAAACAAAAGAAAGAAAACTAGTGATGCTACATCAGCACGAACTTTCTCACATTAGTACAAGTTTAGTAATATTATAATTCTGTAATTTTGACTGCACTGATAAATCTAAACTTTCACCTGAAAACATCTTTACCAATCGTAGTGCATGAGATGCAATTTACATCGGCAGTCAGAAATGGTTGCCACTTTTCCCCTTTTACAAAATCAACATGTATGTATAAATCAAAACTGTTGCAGAATTAGCAGCACATTATACAGACAAGAAAGAATAATTACCATAAGCTAGTCCCTATTATTTCAAAGGGATGTCCCAACTATTGAACGATTACAAATCTGCAGAAGGATGTTTGATCTTGTAAATTCATAAATATTAAGTAACAACAACAACAATAACAATAATAAAATAATAATAATAATGTGTTTATTAATAACGAGGCTCCGACCATAGGGCCTGTTCTTCCGCCTAACCACTGAATTAACATACATTAAGAGTAGTAACATTTCAAGAGGGGAGGACAAGCTGTACATTTACGTCTCGAAGTACAAAACTAGGGACCATCCCGGCATACTCCTTAAGCAATTGAGTAAACCCACAAAATCCCAATCAGGATGGTGGTGTAAAGCCTTTCGCTGCAGGTGTTGTGCTACTAGCAGTGATTGCAGGCAATTACAAATGCTTCCAGTAGGATGCAAAAATAAGGAGTTCGCAGGGAAACTAAATTCCCTGGAGGAGCACGATGGTGAGCGAGGTTTCAAGTTCAGAGACCAAGTCCGATGAAGTATGAAAAGTTTAATTGAAAAAGTAGAGCTGCAGAGTAGCGTGATGTTGATAAAGCAAAGTCTCTGGGCTGTCTGCCCGTTACCAAAGCTAGAGGATCCTTATATATAAAAGAGGGAAATTAATGAGGCCATTACGCCACAACGCAGAACTCGAAGTGTCCTGGACGCAATAAACTGACATTACTGTCGGAGGACATTTGCCCTTTTGAAATCACCGTCTCATAAGTTCCTAAACATCCCCGCTTCCACTACCTGGATCCATGTTAGCGTTGACAGCAGTTTGGGGTGTCCTATCACACATGACTTAAACACACAAGATAAACCTTAAGATAAGCAGAGCGCCTGCTCCGGACGCGACCCTAATTTAAATAACTTTGAAAAGCGATATATCTCTCGCTTACATATTTTAGAGAAATATCCATTGGTTCTCTTACGCAATACTTCATACGTACGTAGGTGCAGGGCCGAACATTATCAATTTACGTAGAAAAGTGGAAGAGAAGGGAAACATAAATTAAAATAAAAATGCGAAAAAGAATGAAGAAAGATTGAGAGGGGGCCAAGCTGTACATTTATGTCTGGGAGTGCAAGACAAGGGACCATCCCGGCGTACGCCTTAAGCGTATTTTATCACTTAAATATTTTAAAATGCAGGTTCGCGGCATTCCGATTCTCTTATCTTATTGCGGATTGTTACGAACTAAACCTATCATGCAAAGGTCACCGAACGAAACGGATACAAATGATTGCACTTCTTTCCCATACGTCACATACAGTTTTGTTTTTTTTGTTCTTTGACAAACTAAATCAAATGAAATTAAAACGCTAGAGATTCAAATTTGTAAATTTCTGAAGTTTATAGATTTAAATAATAATCGGATTTACACCGTATTTGTAAGCCTATTTTGACTTTGCATGTAGATGAAAGCATTTTGTGAAAAAATGTTCCTTTACTATGTTGGCAATGGAAATGTACTTTGTTCCCATTTGGCATTTCAGAAAATATTCCCTCCGCCTATACCACCTCCATGTGCACTAAGGGAAATGTAGTAGAATGTCCTAAACATGTTTAGTAAACGATCATTTAGTACAATTATTCCTGTAGTAACATTCACTACACAAGATTTAGTTTCGTTTATTAAATCAGACAATTCAAAATCGTAAGTGAATCAACAAAGATAATTGTCACAGGTACTATTCTTGTTTCGTAAATAAAATCATTCGGTTCCACGTTTCTTGTCGTTACACTACTAAACACTGTTTAGTAAGCGCACGTTCTCAACCATCTGAACAATTCGAAAGGTTATAGAGCCCATGTGAAGTGTGAATTCAACGCTCTATATAGAATTATACGCTATATAAATGGCCAGTTTAGTATTTTATCAAATTTAAATAATTAGTATGTTACATTCTAAACTAATGGTAGAAATACCGTCGATAGCCAAATGTCGGCAGCCTGCCTTCGTAACTGTTCTGCTTGGCTTAGGGTCTGTCAGGTAATCGAGGATAAGGAAGTACAACTCCTCGGAGCGGCAGGATTGCTTCGGAACCTCCTTGCTACCTGCCTTAAGGAATCGAAAGTATTCCCTTTCACGTTTCGTTTAGTTATTTTCATTGCAATGTGTTTAGTAAATATTACTCAATGTATTATTCAACGCAACGATTCGTTTAGTTATCTCCACAAGATGCAACTCGTCACGAGTACGACCTGCTTAGTGAACATTACTTTGCATGCATTCAGTGAAGTATATATAGTTGAGATCACGGCGTGCATTAGTGTGTTTAACTAAACAGCAGTATCGTGAACGTGACCAAGAACTTCGTTCTTTCAAAATGTACTACACCGTTTATTTGAATCTACTACGTGATTAATTGTATGAACTAAACAATTCTCTCGGTGTTAGAGTTCACTCTCTTCCTTCATATTCTTTTACTATAATATCATTAATCGACCACTACTCACACCTAAGATAGCCAAGAACGTTGGATTTCTAAAATGGTAATTCTTGTTATTCATCGATACTGAAACAAAAATCTTTACTTGTAGTGTATTATCTATTTTTCTCTTCAACTTATCACCAGGCTTGAACGTACTGAGAATTCATTTGAAGGGAATTGCAAACTTTAGAACCATCTTTTGGCCATAAACAACAACAAAACTATTACCTCTTAGACCCATGGACAATGAAAAATGTACCTTACGCTCATGTACGCTAGAATTTTTTTATACCTTAATGAAAAAAAGTTGGGAAACATTTCCCGATGTAACCAATCGGAATGCGCTCTGCGAGCGCTGCACAGCCCGTCCTGCACTCCGTCTGCACTTCGCGACAGTTATCTTTGCCGACGAACCAAGCCCTAGAAGAAACCGCTCTTCCCTAGAAGCCAAACCAGCAGATACGACAGAGCAGGCATTTATCTCGGCGTGGATTTCATCATCAGTGGTCGTATAAGTGACTGCAAATAGATTTAGGCTAGCTTTCTGATCACATATTCTGTAAATGGGGCATGTTGTTACCCACTATAAAGAAAAATTAGTGATTTTACTACTTTCGTTCAAGTAAATTAAGGTTAATTGTCTTATTAGCATTACTATATTTGTTTAATGTCGTAAATAAAGGAATATATTTGGGCAATGTTTTAGTGAATTACACTACTTTCAGGTAGGTAACTAAAATTTGATTTAATTGATGTTTCTTCACTTACATTTTGAAATATCCACACTGACCATAGGCGTGCGCACAGGAGGTGGGGGCAGGGTGGACGTCGGAGAAGCCACGTAACCCAACGAAATAAAACATTTGACTTGCTGTATATTTTCTTTATTTTCCTCTTCTATTAGCTGCCAATTTTCGGGTTTGGTAGAAATGGTTCAACATGCAATCAATTGTATAATTAATATTGTAATATCAAGTTTTTGCAGGATGTTGTATTATTTAGTATTAAAATATGTTACATGTAAATAAAAAAATATCTTTGAAAAGGAAGGGTCCAGAAATGAAATTGCTTCCCCCAGATATTTTAGTCCATGAAAGCAAATAGAAATAATGACTTGAAAGTTGAACCATGAAATGAGAACAATTATTAATATAATTAATACACATATTACTTAAAAGTATAGAGCTGCGCTCGGATGAGACAATTATTGATCCTTGCCTGACCGAGATGACCCGCAACACAGATGTTAAGACATTAGCCTTACATCCACTCAACCATTTTCATTTTCGATTGCACTTCCTTCTAAATGCTTCAAGCAAACTTACAAAATAACCAGTTTAACCTCGCAAACCTTCTGATCAACCAAAAAGATCACGCAAATACCGCGCTGGTGTATCAACAAATTCGGAAGAAATAAAGGGAAAATTTGCGAAAGTCACATCCGCGCAAGGTGTTTCCACATTCCGATTAAAGCTCAGCTGTGGTCACGTGCACCTGAGCGGAACACCATCGATACGAAGGCGCGGGCGCGCATCGAACAAGACGATTCGCTAGGGACGTCTTCATCGAGGAAAGTGTAATGAATCAGCCCAGCTTCCGCACAGCACGCACGGGCTGGCGGGTCAGGAAAGGTCAGGCTGCGAAGTGGAGATGGCACTTCGACCACAACGATCGCGGTTCGCGGGAATACGCAGCAATTGCCCGTTGTTTCGGTAGTAAACGGATGGTAGAGGAGAGAAAAAGAGCTGCTGTAAATTTCGACGTCCGTACGACATACGTTTGACCCCGCAGTTCATAGAGAGCGCGGGCGGCTGCGAACGGCCCACTTCCGGCCGCCTACGGCGCGGTAGGCCTGGGCCTCGCCATGCTCTGCCCAATCTCCTGCCACGACCCGTCCCGCCCGCCTCGCCCCCGTCCTGTCCTCTCCATCCGTCCCGTCCGTGCCCGGCCTTCACCCCGTCCCTGTCCCGTCCCGATTTCGCCCCGGCCCGTCCCGTTTCCCGTCCCGTTACGCCCGGTCGCCGTTGCCCGTCCCCGTCTCCCTCCCTCCGTGTCCCGTCCCGTCCCGTCCCGCTCCCGTCCGTACCGTCCCGTCCGTCCGTCCCGTCCCGTCCCGTCCCGTCCCGTCCCGTCCGTCCCGTCCCGTCCCGTCCCGATCCCTTCCCGTCCCGTCCCGTCCCGTCCCGTTCCGTCCCGTTCCCGTCCCCGTCCCGTCCCCGTCCCGTCCGTCCCGTCTCGTCCTCTTCTCGTCTCAGTCTCGTCTCGTCTCGTACTCGTCTCGTCTCGTCTCGTCTCGTCTCGTCATCGTCTCGTCTCCGTCTCGGTCTCGTCTCGTCTCGTCTCGTCTCGTCTCGTCTCGTCTCGTTCTCGTCTCGTCTCGTCTCTGTCTTCGTCTCGTCTTCGTCTTCGTCTGTTCTCGTCTCGTCTCGTCTCGGTCTCGTCTCGTCTCGTCTCGTCTCGCTCTCGTCTGATCTCCGTCATCGTCTCGTCCTCGTCTCCGTCTCGTCTCGTCTACGTCTCGTCTCGTCTCGTCTCGTCTCGTCTCGTCTCGTCTCGTCTCGTCTCGTCTCGTCTCGGTCTCGTCTCGTCTCTCTCGTCTCGTTTCGTCTCGTCTCGTCTCGTTCTCGTCTCGTCTCGTCTCGTCTCGTCTCGTCTCGTCTCGTCTCGTCTCGTCGTCGTCTCGTCTCGTTCGTCTCGTCTCGTCCTCGTCCGTCTCGTCTCGTCTCGTCTCGTCTCGTCTCGTCTCGTCTCGTCTCCGTCTCGTCTCGTCTCGTCTCGTCTCGGTCTCGTCTCGTCTCGTCTCGTCCCGTCCCGTCCCGTCCCGTCCCGTCCCGTCCCGTCCCGTCCCGTCCCGTCCCGTCCCTCACCGCCCCGATCCACCCCGCCGTCGACGTTCCCACCCGCTGGTCTGTTCCGGACGCGCTCAAAACAAACACGCCGCGCGGCAAGCGGACGAGCTGGCGAGCGGGCGAGCGAGCGGCGCAACCGGGGAGGGGCCGGAGCCGTGACTCAGTGGGTAGTCTCCGCGCCACCGCCGCCGCCGCGCCGCCGCTCGCCTTCCTCGTGACGTCACAGCTGAGGCGATGGCGGCGGCGGCACGCTGCACGCAGCACGGAGAGGACCAGCGTCTCGCACTGGCTGTCAGGAAATTCGACCAAAACGCTTCGAGTCGGATATTTTCATTGCAAAAATCAACCACATTCAACTCGTTGTTGAACGGTCATTTTTATCGCGTAATTATGTACAAATGTGAACTTATGTATATATAACAGTGGATAGTACGCGTCGAAATCATCTATTTTCATAAATTCCACGATTTACATTTATATTCACACGTCAACACTGACATCAATGTCCGTCCGTAAATAGATTACCGGAGCAGATTTTCCGTGTTGGCGGTCGTCGGAAGAAGCCGCCTTCGTAGAGCGGGAAAAGCGCGGGCGGCTTCGTCCGCTGCCCCGGGCGACGGGCCCACCGCCCACCGCGCCGCTCTTTCCTCGTGACGTCACGCCTCCAGGATAAGCGGAGGGGGGCGGCGCGGGAGCGTGAGGGAAAGAGGAGGGGGAGGGGCCGGGAGCGGGCGGGCGGGCGGCGCCCTCGCCTCGCGCGCAGCTGCAGTCGGTGCGGTGCGGTGTGGTGTGATGTGGTGCGGTGCGCGCGCGGTGCCTGCCTCCTGAGCGTCCGTGCGGTGCGGTGTGGTGTGGTGCGGGGCGTGCCTCCTGCCTTCCCGTGTGTGAGTGTGGTGCGGTGTGGGGCGTCCGCTCCCGTGTCCCCCATGTGCAGGCAGTGGGCTGGGGCGGCGTTGGCCGCCGCCGCCGTCGCCGTGGGAACCCTCCCCGCCGCGGCCGGTAAGTGCCCGCTAATACAGAGGAGCGAATGCGTTTCGTAGCCCCGCCCTCACCCGTTGGAACTTTCGTGTGGTGGGATAGGTGACGCGTGGGCGAGCGTCTTCCGGAGGTCCAGCCGCGCTCGTTGGCTTCGGACGTGAAAAGTCAAAGGGATGTTCTGGGAAGTGCTTTCGAAACACGGGCCCGATTAAATTTTACAAATCTCGAAACGATGACATCTGATCATTTACTACTTCTAAATATACGTTATTCTGTCGTCTCTTTGTAATTAATCCCCCCCCCCCCAAGGAATTGCCAGGAGAAATGACATGTAAACTCACTTTTCCCTCGTAATTCACGTTATTCTTCGTATAACGAATGTGTGTTGAGAATTCGATCGATCCGTGGGACTATAATATTAAACAGACTATTAATTCTTCTAACTACAGTATTCTCAGTTGCGTGCTTGTAAGCAGTTTCCGTGTTTTGAATTATTTCATGAAATCCAATGAGGACTTTTCGCCACGTGGTTTACTTAATGTCAAACAGATACGATTTCATTACGATAAACCATTGCGCACATACGACACTATTGTCTTTATTAGTTTTCCCCCTTTCTTTTATACGCATTAATCTCGCGCGATAATACGCAATCGGCTTTAATTTGAAAGAGTAAACAAACTTTAACCAAACGGACCTGCAGGGACATTTTAAAAGGGGCGCCGTCGCCTAATGCAATAAAACTTCTTATTTGTTCAATTACTGATTTTTACGATTTTATCCCCTCAATTTGGGGAATTGTTGTATGACATTTCTGGGGCGGAGGCTTCGAACTTTCTGGCAATCCTATATATAGTTCAACACAAAATTAATTATAATTGTTTTGCATCATATACGTTATATTTTTATTCTTTTAGTTGTATGTTTCATTTATTTACTAGTATGCCGTATGTAAATAAAAAAGTGTTATGAACAATGGAGCCCCTTCTATTGTTGGCTGGCTCGCCTCCGTGTCGGGTGCGAGAGAGCCCCCCCCCCCTTGCGGAGTCAATTCGTTCACTCCAGGCGAACGCGTGATATCCCCTTCCATCATATTCCCCCGTTAGGACGAACTAATTCTGGTTGCAGTTATGTGGGTAGCAATCGTATTTCCCTGCTTCCTGTTGACATCTGTGACACGTTCTCACAAGAAAATAAGAAGGGTATAAGGAAGGAAATTTGGGTATAGTTTTTCCCCTGTAGATGTATTTCGTCAGCGATATAATTAATGATTATGGACTGTTCATGAAGTGAAACTCGGTTCGCCGCAAGTTCCAGATCACCCTCTTCTTCCAAAAAAGAAGTAAAATTTATATGAAAACCTTTCAATTAGAAAACGTGTTTTGTTGCAGTTGTATGACGGATTTTGTATTTAATAAAATATTCAAGCAAATGATTAATGTGAGTGAATTGTCCGATAAAACAAGGGTTAAGATGGAAGGTGACGATACTGTCTACACTAAAATCTCCTAACAATGAACAATTTCGTTTATAAATATTCTCTAAGTTTTGTAAACAATTGAAGTGAAAAATCTAGTTGAATTTCATAAAAATGGATTCTATTTCAAGAAAATAAATTAATTTTACCTTCGACATAACCGCTGACAAAACATAGCATTGTCATTTGTCTTACACATATCTCATTGTTCCGCTTGTCTGTCCCAAATGTGAGATCGAAAATTTCGCGTACAAAAAATTAGGGCATTCAATCCGAGATAAATAACATCGTAAGTGGGACACCTTATTAAAGAAATCTGGATGTATATCCATATGTATCCCAGTAAATAAATTTGTGTTAAAAAGGGGAATAACAATGACGAGCGCTCCCTTTGCGTCGCACTCGTTGTGGAATTGAAACGCAAATTTAAAAAAAGCCGGGGCGATAATTATTGATACAACCATTCATTACATTTTTGCATAGTCGTCATCGGATATTCAAACACTTGTCTTCTCGTCGTTGTGGAAACATAAGTATATGCATATGACTGTACAATAAAACATCCTCCAATTGTTTTTCATTATTTGCGATTTAATTCAAACACGCGTTCGACTTTCCAGACGGTCCTCGAATCTAATGAATAGGGAGCTGATTTCTACGATCTTGCATATTTTTGTCCGTTGCTTCAGTGCATAGTTTAGTGAAATTCTTGACATTTGGTTAGAAAATGATGCTATACAGATGAATATATTGGTGCATATTTGGCTGATTTTTCCTGTTGGTGAATATTCGTGTAATTATATACGCATATTTTTGCATATTTCGTTAAAATAGAAACATATATACAAAACGTGTCACCTTTTCAGAGAAACTATTTATTTGTGAGGTTTTATTGATTCGAAAGAACTTTTCACAGTTTGCTTTTTTTTCTGTAGATGATAAATACTGGTGCAAATGTAGGATATTTTTTGATTACATATTTTGTAAACCGGTTAGAAGAAATTCAAGATCTAAAATGTTCTTCACTAAGGTAAATATTTACTTCAATTCTTTCTCTCGCGAAGTAGGGTAAGATTTTTTTTTTCCACAAAAATATATTTTTTTCATTTCAAGCATGCTTCTCCTGAATTTTATTAAGAAAGGTTTTATAGATGAAACGGATTTTAATTAATTTTAATTGTATATTAAAGTGCAAATTTCTGAATTTTTAGGTCATAAATGCGTATTTCAATGTTTTTTGGCTAAACAAATCCTCTCTCTACTAATAAAGCCGCGAAATGTTTTGTTTTTTTCTGTTACTCGTGAGTCGCTGAGAGAAAGGATGTGCCACGCCCACGTCGGGTGCATCACAGCGCGCGGCTGGGAGTGCCGGCCTGGTCCGCGTCAGCCACCAGCCACCTGGGCCGCTCGCGTCTCGTCGAGTCGCGTCGCGTCGCGTCTGCTTCGCTTGCAACAACACACGCGCGCTGTCGGCCGCCCGCCTCTGAAATATCGCCCCGCCCGACACGCACTGAAATTAGCCGCGGCCCGGGCAATTAAGCGGGCGATATCGGTGATGCGAAACAGTCCCGCACGCAAATAACCCGGCAAAGTGCTCTCCCACACCGCTCATCACACACCTGCGAGCGCGGGCTGGGGGCGGGGTCGAGACAAATAAACATTCAAACTAGTAAATATTTGGCCCCCAAGAAAAGGTGATAAATCCTGGAAAGGAGAAGCAACTAAGTTTCTAACGTAAATGAACAGACAACCCGACTTAATTCATGCTATTCAATGATTTCTAATAATTCGTATAGCTTTAATGAGACAAAACCACTAATTTCGTCCGAGTTTTTTTAAAGAAATGTTCATTACATTCATAATAAAAAAAGCCCCATTACTTAGCAACCAGAAGATTACACCGTTTACACATCTAGAAAAATTACCTTTTTATGTATCTGAATCGAGAATACTACTTCTGAAGTAAATTGGTTCGCTAAAAACGAAAATGGCAAACGTGTTTTTCCGTGTGCGCGACAGCTCGTATTGCTTATTGTATTTCACGCTTTTCCTCTTTTCAGAACACTTTGAGATGATATGAAAAAGTTATGAAGCACTCTTTCTAGTTGGAGAGTTCCCTTCCCATCATTGAATACCCAAACGACTCACTTTCCATCATTTATCCAGCGGCGAAGACGTGTTGCACTCACGACGTGCGGTGCCTAAATCTAAAACCGATCTAAGAGTTTGCACCCTAAGTGGATATGATAAGCTTTCTTGATCAAAAGTGTTTTGAGGCGCTTCTGAACTACAAATGTTACAGATGTAGCACAAATTTAGCATAAAAGGTTTGCATTATTCTCGCGAGTGTGAAGAATCGTGTCCACAAAAATCAGAAATACCTCCCCAGGCTGTTGCTAACGACGCCGAATTTAGAGTAGATGCGATGGGCGTGAGGAAAGGCGCAATAAACGAAGGGCAGAACGCAAGCACAGCAAAGTTAGAGGGAATCTTTGCAAAATTTAATTATAATACGTAATACTACTAGAGCTTTGGAAATGGTCGATAAATCTGCGACTCGCGAAGGAAGGAGGATATTTATCTGAGGATTTCCAAAACACGAGTGGTATTTAATAGGACTATTCCCCGAATGTAATTACGAGCAACAGAGTTCCAAATTGCGCCTAATATTAATAATCTGAAAGCATGTTGAAATCAAAAAGGTTATGTTATCGTACATACGCGGTTTATTGCACATCAACAAAGCCATCGATACATAACGCCTTCTAAAATAGACGAGTTGCATCTTATTATTGGCCAGTAGGGGCTCTAGGGAGGAGCGGTAAAAAAAATCGATTTGAAAAAACGATAATACGATACATTTTTTTAGACACACAGGCCTGATGAGGCATTTTATATGTATAGTTTAAACACTATAGTTTTTTAATTTCACGAATGAAAATTTGTTCAATGCCTTTTATAGTAGAGCTAATCATGTATTTTCATTATCATTTTCGAGTTTATCATCCCTAAAATAGCTTCAAATGATTCGTATCATTTGAGATACTATTTTATTGTAGACAAGTGTTTTACACTGAAATAAGAAAATTATTGTCAGAAACCAATATTATAATTATCTGCTTTTCAACTAAAAGTTGATTTATCATCTTCAAAAAATGTGAAGTGAAATAATTGTTTCAGAGATCGTATGACATACATTTTTAACGCTTTCCTGAACTGTTGTTTCAAGTTGATTGGCGTTCTAAACAAGAACCTAGGGATCGCAGAAGTATTTACGCAGGATGTAGGTGTTCAGTGGCATCTTCTTTTTCCATTTGGTATGCTAGACCCGCACCATGTCCTACGGTGCTAAGCCTTTATAACTGGACGGGCAACGGCGCGCGCCTGCGTCTCCCCACCACTGGCACCGCCCTTGCGAATGTTTTTGGACAAAGCCAATACGGCGGCTCGGTGTAAATGCGCTCTTTTAAATCTGACAGACATATTATTTTGTATTATATCAAAAATGGTGTATAATGTGTTCCTTTTGTGGGGGAAAAAATCATGGAAACATGTATTTGTCTCATTATGGAAAGAAGTGATTATAGCAAATACGTGTTATGACTTATTAATTTAATGAATATATTTAATCTATTTCTAATCATATGAATAATAAATGTAACATAAATCAGTTTTGATGTAGAAAAATTGAATTACAGAAATATGATGAACTGAAATGATGTTTTATAAACAAATTTATATATGATAGCAAATAGATATATGATTATGATATGATTTATATATGATGAACTGAAATTATGTTTTATAAACAAATTTATACATAATTAGCTCATGGCGTCAACTGATTCACCGCAGTGCTTGTGACCGGGAGGGCCTTGGGTTCGAGTCCCGCGGCATTTTCGACCCTAGCTAGATAACTTGGTCGAATATAAGCAGCTGTCTGGAGGAGAATTCTAGCTAAAGAGTGCTGTGATCAGTACTTTTTCGTGGTGTCTCAGATCAACACTAGGCAAATGTTGGGAAAAATCCTGCAGGCAGACGAGTAGATAGGCGCCCGATATCCCCAACCAGCGGGGGAAGATCAACGGCGCCGCCGCCACCGCCACCACCACCACCACCACCACCACCACCACAGGTAAACATGCACTACACTTAAGGGAATAATGGCCATAGTCGACATCGCCCGAACACAGGAAATAATCTCTTGATCAAAACAAAATTATTTTAGTTTCTCATTATTTTCTGGAAAAATATTAAAAGTAGAATGGTTGAGTTCGGCTGAATGATTTAATTGCATTTTTACCGACTGGGAAGGTCGGTCATGTTCGCCAGAACACGCCTGACGTAGTGTAACCGCGTTTGGGCTCCAGTGAGTGTTTAAAATATTCGGTTATAAACAGCCGAGAGCCTAGAGAGAACAAACAACAAGCATGGAGCTGTAGATTCACAGAGGCAACTAATTTCAAACAAAAGTACCACCCTCCTCCGATACATAAACAGAATTCATTTCTCCCTGCGAGCGAAATAACTTCGAGCATATAACTGTAATTAGAAGTCAATATCTTTTTTGATTTTGATTTTAAAAAAAATTGGGGGCCTTAATTAACTCGGGGTCTGAGGCAAGTTGCCCCCCCCCCATTCTGGACGCCCATCATAACTGATCGTAGACTTCCGAAAGTGGATACGGACGTTCACGGATGAATTTTGTCCGTAATGTTGGTATGTCGTGTAAAGGAGAATATGAGTGAGTGTGATTCGTAATCATCGCGATGTTGATTTTTCTTCTCAACAAACAGATCAATTTTATATATGAGACGCACTGAGCATCAAAAGGGAATATAAATTATTTTAACATGATATTTACTGTATTACTTCCATTTAGGCTGTATAATTCTAAAAGACTAAATCTCGGGGTCGGAGGTATAGGTAAGGTCCATTTGGACCGGAATGATATCATTGGCACAATCATGTGGGCCTTTTTTGTCCTCTACACACAGGTATATGTCCAACAATACTACACTAAGTCCAACATCAAGAATTTGTGGAGTTTCAGTACTTTTAAATAACACCAAGTCCACTTCCAATTCAAAAGTAAAGCATCTTCAAACTGCTCTCCTGTAAAACTGAGTTAATGTAACGTAGCGTCCTATATTTCAGACCCTCAGAGATATGCCTTTAACAAATATTGTACCTCAACTTCTTGGTCGATAACCCCCACCTCGATCAGATTGATAAACGAATTTCCCTGATCCTTTGAGCAAATATTGTTTTGCTTCTGGACATAAATTTATCTTCATTATTTGTGCCCTTTTTCAGCTCAGTGAGAAATGTTAAGTTATTCAAATAATCGTTCTCCATGTTGTCGCGGCAGAAAGCTGATTCTGTCACGAAGGGTATGATAAAGAATAATAGCCTAAACCTGTAGCTCATTTGCCTTTGCAAGTACTTTTTATTACAAGGAAGCGAATATTTTCATATCAGTTTTTGGCGAAAACGCTCGTTGCAGCCTGTTTACATAAATCAACTTAATATGTATGAGTTAGACATGAGATCCCACAGTTCAAAAACAGTGTTTAGATTGGGTTCCTCCTCATAGTTCACACGGTTTTTTAGTGTATTTAGACGTTTAATAAATTAATAACGAATTATTTGAAGTGTAAAAGGGATTCACGTATATGCCTAATTGATGGCAATCATGTGGGTGACCCGGTGTAGTAGTCACATACCTATGTGCTTCTGAACACCGGGATTTAACTCTCAGTCGATCCATGTGTTCTTTGGAGTGAACAAAGTGTTTGACGGCAGGGGTTCACCCGTTACGCCTGCTTCTCATTCCACCATTGCTCCATCTAATATATAAAAAGCAATGTTGTTGGTTCCTGCTTAATACGCTGCCGTACCGTTCATCTGATTGCTATAAAATTGTGTCAACTTATTGTTTGCAGGCTAGCTACGTATTGATTGAGACTTAGTAAATCCGCTAGATGGCGCTGCAGCACGAGATGACACATCATGTAAATGCAATTCCCAATACACCTCAACTTAATTGTTGCTGAGCGTCTGCATGTGACGTGGATTGAGACAAAGAAGGACAGGAGGAGCGGCGGCGCAAAAATGAGAGAGGAGAAGGAAAAAAGAAAAAAAGAGAGAGGGAAAGTGATAGAGAGAGGGAAAGTGATAGAAAGAGGGAAAGAGATAGAGAGAGGGAAAGAGATAGAAAGAGGGAAAGAGATAGAGAGAGGGAAAGAGATAGAGAAGGAAAGAATGAAAGAGGAAAAGAGAGGGGGGAAGAGAGAGCAAGAGGGAAAGTGAGAGGTGGGAGAGAGAGGAATTAGTTAAACATTCAATAAGAAAAAGAACAAGTTAACTCTTTCAAATATCAAACGATTTTTCTTCAATTATTTCTTCTGCTGCAGCTATGCTCCGGGTACAAGTTAGTCTTAATGAAATGTCAACATTGTCATAACCATCATACATGAATCCCACCATTTATGTCCAAAAAGGTTTTATATTCTAGGAATCATAAAACCTATTTATGAATAAATATTTAATAATTCTCATTAATTCGCTTTGATTAATATCACAAGAACTTGGTATTTGAACTACACTTCTAGTATTTTGATAATAAATCTATAACGAGACTGTTGAACGTTATTGTCTTCGTTTTCCAGGTTTCTTTAAAATGTTTTGCCCAAAATTTTGAGGCATTTTTCGGAGTATTCATGTACATTTTCAGTTAGATTATTTATTATTCTTGATGTTTTAAATACGAGTATAATGTTGACATATGTTTGAAATCACAACACTCGACATAACGTAAATATATATTTTCTCCTACCCCGAAGACTTGTTCAATAACAAAAAATTAGTAAACAAATTTGATTTGCCGTGAGTTTTTGCCTCAAGCAGTTAGACATTTCTGGATATGAGATCGGAATTTCTCAAATGTGAGACTTTGGGTTTCGAAGTGCAAAAGTTTCTGCATTTGAGTCAGATATAGAAAGCGCTACCACAAGAATATTAAGGTCATTGAATAACCAAGAAGATCATATTGAATGTAATTTTCGAAATTCCGAAACACATGGCGCGATTAACTAAGCAACGAATTCAGTGAAACATCAAAGATCCTAAACCGGTAGTTCGCGATAATATTGTTGCAAGTGTTCCCAACGTGTAGTGATTGTTTCGAATTTTATGTGTATATCATTTTAGTCCTAGGCAGTGATAATACATATTTTACTACATTTTACGCTGTTTAAATGCCTGTATTAGTTGCAACCACATTTGATAATGAGAGCGTTTTGTGAAATCACAATCGTTCAGTAAGAACTACCTCCAGTTCGCAAGTCATAAAAATAATTTATAAATCACGACGTTAAGCTACAGAGGAGAGTAAATTCCCCTTTAAAATTCTTGCATCATAAAATAAACATTGCCGTCGTTGGCTTTTGCCTGCCACAAACCAGTGGAGAGGAAGTTCGATGTGACGAAACAGGGCACTATCGCGTATAAGAATAAATAGATGGCGGAAAGAAGTTACATCACAGCTTCAGTGGATGAGACACCCGAGAAGCACCTCGTCCTACCGGCGGGACCTGTTCATTGACCTTGTTTCCGGTTAAGCGACAGAAAGTGAACGCTGCGGCAACGATGTGTAGAAAACCTGCCCCTCTAGGCTGCTGGCGAGGTTGCCCTGAGATTAAAAGCTATCAATTCTTTTCACAAGTAGTTTCGTTAAAAATTAAGAACATGGTGGAAAGGCGAAAAAGATTAAAGAACAGAATGTATACGTCACAATACGTTGTATCATAAGCAGGTGATATAGACTTTAATTGTTGTGGAGGTGGTGGACCCATTTTCGTTTTCCTCTGTCGGAGCAAAACTAGTTGCGCACACGAGAAAGTGGTTACACCGACTCCTCTCTACTAAATTTTGTAATTTTTATCCCCTCTGGTTGTATACATTCCATATTGGTAACAAAAGTGAACATGAAAGCCCTTAAATTATCCATTTTATTTTCGGTAGCATCTAATCTAGGTCTCTAATGTCAAAATGTGTAAATTGAACCGAATTCAGAACCACTTTACAATAACAAACAAGTGAAATTTTCATTTTCCTGATTTTTTTTTATTTCCGATGATCGACAGCTTTATTTCAAACGTAAGACTTCCGATTTTGAATCAATTAATTGTCGATCTGATTCGAACTAGGTAAAATTCCATATGGACTAGATTCTATGAATAGAGTAAAATAGAGGAGATTTTATTTACAACCCCTGCCACGCCTCGCTTCGCTGTGCCCGATCCCTTCCGATTCCATCGCTCCTCCGTGATCCCTTACGGCTAGATGCCTCACCCTTCCCGGTATGGATTTAAAAAATAAGAACTTGCAAATTTCGTGCTTCTAGCTTGTGTAGTTAGTTCAGCTCTACCTTAATATAACAGTCAATTTGCTCTCTTAAGATGGACAATAGCTTTTTGTTAGCAATTCTGAAATAATCGCATTAATTGCAAAAGCAGAGATTCGTTACATATTTCGACTTCTCCAACATTTCACATTAGCAAATGCTAAGTGAACTGGAAATTTTATTTATCATCTGCATATGATACAAACAATATTCGTTTTCTATTCACAGTCGTAGCCAAGAATGATCACTTGTTTACCCCTAGAAATTAGGTAACATGCACAAAAAATGAAAACATTCAAAATGTACTAAATATGAAAATTACAGAAATTTGAGGTTGATATGAAAAATATAAGGCATACTACTATAAGTATGTATATAAAATATATTAATGAGCAATGTAAATTTGCTAATCTCCTCTCCTCAGCTTGAAAAATCCTTCGTACGACTTCCTTCGGAGGGGAAGTAAAGCCGGCTGTCCCATGTTAGTAGATTTACTTGCATGTAAAAGATCCTCAAGCCTAAATGACGCCTCTAAACAAAATTCAAATTGCCTGTTTCTCGCCCAAGAAATACCTCCTTTCTCTGTTAGTTGGTGAAAGGAGCGTAGCGAAATTTGAGTGGTCAGACGGAAGAGCACGCCTCATGGTCTGAGTCTCGCCACGTAAAATAAGGCATTAATTCAATTCAATTCGGCCTGCGTCAATCCTGGCCACGCCCATGCCCTAGTCAGAGGCGGCGAAATCCCCGTCCGTTTTTAATCGGGCGGCGAAAGCTCGCCTTCGACTCGTGCCGTCGTCGCGTCGCCGTGTTTCCCCCAACAAAGGCTTCAGCAGACAGACGGAGGATCTCGATTTCAGAATCAGCCGTACGGCCGCTGCGACCTGTTAAACCAGTTTTTCCTCGGGTGCGGAACGCGACTCACATGGACCACGCCGCCGCCGCGCCCCGTGTAGGCTCATGCCTTTGGCAACAATGCACCATGCACTCCTACCCAGCTACTTTGGTGGAAGCGCGGGAGAGTGCGTTCTAGTAGTAGGGGTTTCTGCAAAGTGTCAACTTATAACATAGAGACCGGAAAATTAGAATGTAATATGAACGGAAAACTATGTGCATAAATATTATTGAAAATGACGAGAATATGTAATACATATTATGTAAAATATGTCAGATTAAATATGCGCAAATTTATCGAACGTTTATAAACAAATAAAATAAATTTACAGAATTTGAAATTACAAGAATAAAATAATTATTAATTATATTTTAAAGATAAATATATTGCGTGTCTTTCTAGGTTGATTTTTAAGACTATTTGTTTTTTATATTTCAGAGCAATGACAGTCACCTTTCAAGCGTGGGAACTTAATGACAGGCAAACTATCACTAGCATTGTCTTCGCAGTATTACACGTTTGCGACAACCAATATCTCTCGTAAATGGAATTAAAGATCAAGAAACACGTCATTGATATTTTCCACACGTACTTTCCACAACATACTACACGCATTATGGACGTAGGTTAACCCAAACAGATCGCGTGCATCTGACCACGTTTTTACGTGAAGCACTTCACGTCGTCAGCACGCAATTCTCAATACAATTATGGAACAAACGCCCTTTTTTAAAAAAACAAATACTAGTTTTGAAAATGCACCAAATATTTTGTGCGAAATACGTTTCACGAAAACAGATTGGTTAATAAAATGTTTTGCAAACTCTATAAATTATAAGCAAAGCATGTAATACAGTACAATTTGTAAAAATACGACAAATTTAGATATTGTGTTAGGATTGCCCTAATTCGCTAAGATCATCATTTTAAAAATAGTAAATAAAGACAAAAACATGTAATTGACTAGGGGTCGTAAGTTCTTGTAGTAATAAAAAACGCGAAATATATTAACCTACGTATATATATTTTAAACTTTACAAAAAATATGTAAAAAGATGAAAATATGTCAAATAATAATCCATGATTTTGGTTAAAATTACCCGTTATTAGCATTTTCGAACCCAATATGTCGTAAAATTCTTAAAGTGGATCCGGAACAGCTGATCAAACCTCTTGTAGAACACCAAACAATACGAGTTTTAAACGAAGTATAAAATGCTTACGTAGAATGTGCAATTTACGAGAAGCCAGTGACGGTTCGAAGGGGACCATGTTGCTTTCAAATTCAAGATTGTTTACGTGGCTTCAGCGGCCCCGTTTTAGGGTTCGAGACCCGACGGATGCGGAAATTGTTCACGTTATCTAGATTGCTGGGTTTAATTCAAACACTGCCTGGACGAGAATTCTAGATACTCTGATCGGTTGTTTTTCCAGTTGCTGTTTGTTGTTGTTGTTGTTGTTTTCCTCCATCAATCCCAGGCAAACGTCTAACAAAGACAGCGCACGACCTTTCCTTCCTCATCCCTTCCCCCTCCCCTCTCTTTACACACACGTTTAATTCACGATACTAGTACATAAGTTGGAAGACCAGTCGTCATGTTCCGGCTGGGACGGTTCCCCGTAGGAAAAATTCCCGAAAAATAAACACAGAAGTCGACAAGTAGGTTGGCGGGCGGGGTTTTATGAATAGGTTCCGAATTTTGCTTGTGGCATGTGGTTGCGGTTACCTCTGCTTTGCAAATATTCGTTCTTCCTTGAGTCCGAGTACGCAATTTCCGAGAAGTAAGGGGGTACTTTTGACAATTCACAGCTAATGTCCGGATGTCGTAGAAGCGCAGTATTCCTTTGCTTTACTCCCGCAGTACTCCTTTAACGGAAAGATTGCACGAACATTTATTTGCAAACAGTCATATGAAATATTCCGTCCATACATGTAAATGTATTAAAACGTAACGAAATGTGTTATAATAAGCCAAACGTGTAATTATTCCAAACTATGTAAAACAAAAATGGTTTTAATCCGTTCTGAAGGTGACGCGAACTTTAAAATATTTGTTTGATGGCAGTTATCTTCTGCCAATAAAAATGTGCATTTACATTAACGTCCGTTTCCTAGGAATTACGTTAGATGTCG